TCTCTCTCTCTCTCTCTCTCTCTCTCTCTCTCTCTCTCTCTCTCTCTCTCTCTCTCTCTCTCTCTCTTGAATTCAAGTTTAAACTTTATTCTAACAATACGTTTGTTTTGTTTAAACAGAGCTTAAGTTAAAATTTAAGTTAAAACTATCATTGAAAAACCAGCTCTTAGTCTCATATTTCGGGAATTTTTATTTTTGCGTATGTAATTTTTTCATAAAGATGCAATGTATTTTCAATTTCCTTTATAATTTCTACAAATAATAGTAAAATTGTATTAAAATATGTTACAAAGGTAAAATGAAAAAAAGAACATTTTTCCTCTGTTTTGATAAATGTTGTTTAGATGTCCTCAGCTGTTTTATAATTTTTCTTATATAAGATGCATGAATTTTCGTTAAGAACGTTTAATATTGTCTAACGTTTAGGACGTTAAACAATATTTAGTAATTTTTTTTTAATAATATTAAGTTCTCATTATTATTTTTATATAGATATAATAAAAGATTTATTAATTACTGTGGAAGCTATTGTACATAGAACAAATAATGACGATATGAATCAAGTCAGTACTGAAGATGCTGAAACTTCCGAATTACAAGCCAATAAAGAAAACAATATGTGTAAGCAACATTCTGCAGATGATAAACATGAGGATATTTTGGTAAGTAAAATATAAGTAATTGATAGGATGCCGGCAGATCTTGGCAGTAAATTCGATCAAAATCCCGCAACAAAACAATAACCATTTGTATTCTCATTAAACTCGTATGTCGTCCATAGAGTCTGTTGATATGTTATGTCAGCAACTTGGCGACAGATATCGAGTAGACTTCGTCGAAGCATAGCTATTTCAATAAACTTTATGTGTATTGGCTTTTAAATAATCGACTTTGAAATAAACGAAAACGAATATATTTTTTACTTATATAAATCCCAAATAGTTAGATAAAATGTTTATTTTTATAACAAAAATTTCAAAGTTTATAAAATCATCATAGGATTTATTTGTAAATAAGCAATTGCTTCAGACTTAGTTGTTCGAGACTTGTACAAGTAATCTTTTAAATCTTAAGGCCAGTCAATATAAATGCCAAGAAAAAGAAAGAACTGAATATGAAAAACAGCAAGATAATGATATATTAACTCTCACATTACGAGATATATACTATTATAAAAATCGCTATAGGAAATCAGAGGAATGTGAAGGACATAATATAAATGACATTACCGATTGCAAAGAGTAAGTACAGCAAATATTGTAATCTGCATAATGATGATACTTGTTTGAGAGAATATGTACATAGATGTAAGAGTTTACGCTTTTAGGGAAATTGATGAGGAAGTGACGACAAGTGAGATGAATTTAGTTAGCGATAAAGTAGCAAATAAATCTGATGAAGATATTAACAAAAAAGAAATTGTAAATGAAGTTAATAAAGCTAACAATAAGATAGAAATTATAATGAAGCTAAATGATGATTGTGATAGTATGGAAAATTTTTCTCCTAAAGGAAAGAAAAGTGAAGGAATAATTATAACGGAGCTAAGTGATGATAATGATAATATGGAAAATCTTTCCTCTAAAGAAAATAAAAGTGAAGGAGTAATTATAACGAAGCTAAGTGACGATAATAATAGTATGGAAAATCTTTCCCCTAAAGGAAAGAAGAGTGAGGGAATAATTATAACGAAGCTAAATGATAACAATGATAGTATGAAAAATCTTTCCCCTAAAAGAGAAAAGAGTAAAGGAATAATTATAATGGAGCTAAGTAGTGATAGTGATAGTATGAAAAATTTTTCTCCTAAAGGAAAGAAAAGTGAAGGAGTAATTATAACGGAGCTAAGTGATGATAGGGATAGTATGAAAAATATTTTCTTTAAAAAAAAAAAGAGTGATATCGTTATCTATGACGGAAAGTAATTATAGAAAATATGATAATTCGTATAATAAATATTCGCTCGAAAAAATATATAACTTATAGATATAATTTACGTTTCTAGGCAGATTAATGAAGGAGTGACGATAAGCGAAGTGACGGCAAGCGAAACAAATCGAGCTAGTGATGAAGGACCAACTTTAGATAAGGCAAATGAAGTTAATGATGAGAAAATAATTGACAAATTGCATGGAGGTATTGAGAGAATAACACATGAATTGGTTGATTCTGATATTGACGAAATGATTACAAGTGAATTGAATGAAAATAACAAAATAATTCTAAGCGGGTGCTATAGTAATAAGGACAGTGACAGTGATGAGGAAAACCTCCCTGAAGAAAACAAGAGTAATATTCTTACCTATTACAAAACGTAAATATAATGAATATATAATGTTCTGTATAATAAATATTTATTTAATAAATATATATTCCTTAATTTCAGACTAATTAATGAAAAATATATGCTTCCTTTGAAGCATTATGACTCAGATTTGTGGAATAATTTGACGCAAGGCACAATACAAAACCAATTTGAAGTAATAACAGTTAATAATAAAATAACGATATTAACAAATTCAAACAAGCTAGTTTCAAAACGCAAAAGCATATGTTCAAAAAAGATAAATAAAAATATATTTAATAAAAATAAGAAGCATATTGAAAAAGAGATGAACGCAATAAATGACCTGTTGTCTACGATGTTACAAAATTTTCCAAATCTTGCGAGGTATGCATATAAAATAACTATTGTACTACATATATTTAAATAAACTTCAACTTCTATACTTATAAAAATGTATTGCAAGAGATAGATTTTATATATAATCGAGTTATTATAAAATATCTTTGATATTTAGTACAGAAATATTAAACGGCATAATGACAATGAAAGATACGGGTATGATTATATCAAAAGTATCTCAAGAATTTGTGATAAAGGAGTTACACTATTTAATAACAAAAGCAAATGCGCATGGTATGTTGCTTCAATAGATTGCATGTTTATATGATGAAATTTAAGCATTATACTCTAACAATTTATACTTTGAAATCTATTAATATCTTAACCTATTAATCTATTAATACCTTATAACAGGAATTCCTTTGTTTACCAAAAATCAAATCAAAGAAATCAAATTAAACAACTAGAAAATTATTCAAATGAAACAGATGCAAAGGAAGACAACTTACAAATTAACCCGAAATTAGCACGTTCAAAAAAAATTAAAAAAAAATCTCGACCTAGAAAAAATTAAAACCAAGAAAAATCAATAAAAAAAGAGAACTCAGGAAAAATTGGCACAAATTACGCTTATCAGGGAGAAACTAGTTCGAAAGAATGCTAACTGAGAAAAAAAATTAACTCACTGGAAACTATCCCAATCTACAAATAATCAGTTTGGAAAAACTACTTCAGAAAAAATTATTAAAAAAAAAACTGTTTTTGGAGAAGCTAACTCGATAGAAACCAGCTCAGAAAAAACTACACCATAGAGAACTACTTCAGAAAGTAACTGTTTAGGAAAAAATAGTCCAGCAGCAACTATTTAAAGGAACAGTAATTTAAAACAAAATCTCTCTCTAAAAAAAATCAGCACTGGAGAATTTATAGTTTGTGAGGAACCAGAGTCACATACACACAAGGTAAATAAAGTTTAAGAAAATTTTTTACGGAAATGTCAATTCAGAAAACGTCATTTCAGAAGAACTCATCCATGAAGAAATTAATGTAAAAATAAAATACGATAAAAAAGACAATGCGAATGTATTTTATACGTTTATAACTATGAAATACGTTTATATAACTAAATTACGTATATTTTATTGTATGTTTTCTCTGTTTTAGATTTACACTTTATATCGTTTTTTTTATCTTTTTTATTTCTAATTTTTGTCTTATTTTATTATTTTTTTATTGTTTATATTATTTTACGAAAGGAATCTTTTTCGAAAATTTTTAATATTAGAAGAACAATTTACGAATACATACAACAAATTACTTTATACATACAATTTACTTTATACATACAATATTGACATAAATGTAAGTTACGTTAAAAAAAAATAATAAATATATGTGATGCTAATTACCAATCAATCTTAACTGTATGTCAAAACTAATACATGTAAATATTACAGATATTGATTTATAAGATGACAAGAAGAATACAATTCACATTATTAGATGGTTTTTTATTAAATCTGCAAATTGCGATTTATTATACATTTCTATTTACAAAATGAAATTATTAACTCCACCAGAAACTGATTGAAAAACTCGAAGTGAGAGCGGTTACGTGGTGCCACCACTTTGGTGGAATATACAACATTTCCCCTGGTTTTAAATAACACATCATACCTTTAGCCTTGCAAAAATTTGGCCACTTAGTGTAATCTGGATTTATCGGATCCACTTGCGCAGTATTGTTGAGTAATCTTGTAGTGTAAGGATACAAATTATCTGCTTCGTCCGGATGATATAAAATAATTCTTTTGTAGCCGAATACCTACGTAATATGAACAATTACATTATAGCATACAAAAAATATGAATTTATAGTACCAATTAAAAGAATCCTTTAGTATTTGTATGCATCTAATTAAATATAATAATTATTTTAATTAAATTTAATTGTAATATAAATTAATTATATACAATAATTTGTTAGTATGTGTGAAAGAATTAAGAAAACTTTTTTAAATATCTATTTTACATACATAGTATATACTTGAAATATTGAATCCTCTTTTAGTATCATATTTATTATTTCGATTTTTAATTCTCATAAAAAAAATCCGGGAAAAAACGATCATGTATAAATTTTGTATAACCATATATAATCATACGTAATTATAAATGTCCACAATGAAAAAATATTGTTATATAATTACGTGAATATTTCATAATTGAAGTGAATATTTACGTTTACAACGGCATATGACGTCACTGTTTAATTGAACGATACTATTTTTTTTCTTTTCTATTTAACATCATTTTTTTCCGTGTGAATATATGATTATATATATGACCATATAAAAGACAAAATTCATATATAATTTATATATAATCATATATAATTTTATATATAATTATATATAATCATTTTTCCCGGAAAATCATTTGTGTAGTGTTTTTTAATTTTAAAGATATATATAATTGTATATATATATATATATATATATATATATATATATATATATATATATATATATA